ATTCACCTCTGAATTTTAATCATGGTTCTTCGAACAAACGCTTAAAAATTTAAAAAACCTATTGAAGAAGCAAATTTTAACATGAAGAAAAACAAGAAAAGTCCATCTATTAATCTCAATGACACAGGGTCGGCAATATTCAAACTCAGGAACAAGAAGCATCATCGTTTTAAAACCAAATTAAAGCTCGTATCAAGCGAATTCGACAACCATAAAACCAAAGGACTTCCGCGCAAATAAAGTTCTTCAAACTCAAACCCAAGAAGCATCAACGCTTTAAAATTAAATCGAAGTTCGTATCAAGCGAATTCAACAACCACTCAACCAAACACTTCCGCTCAATTAAAGTTCTCCATACTCACACTCAAGAAGCATTAAATGCTTTAAAATCAAATCGAAGCTCACATCATGCACATTCAACGAACATACAAACAAATGACTTCCGCTCAATTGGAGTTCTCCGTACTCAAATCCAAGAAAGCATCAAGAACTCCGGACATAACGGAGTTCCAAAAAATAGACCTGCATACATTTCTCCATCCTAGAAAAATCTGTCAGAGACCAGGACGCAACTACGCTTACGTAAAGACATTTTCTACAACTTTGGTTGTATGGCAACAGCTGCACATGCCCAATATATGGCCATTTCTTACGGACAAACCTACAAGGATATCTGTAACGTGCAATGGTATTAGAGAAGACAGTTTATTAAACATTACAGACATTACACCAGAATCGCTAAACCACGCAGAGCTGATTGAACTAACGTCAGTCTGGAACGAAAATCCTCGTGTATGAAATAAATTCTTATCGCCGATTTCTTTTTAAATATTTCATCTTTTTTTTATGACTCTATTTACGAGCACCAGTCAAGGCAAAATATGAAGTTGTCATTTTAAAATCGGTGCTTTATTGTTTTTAAAAACCCGTACATCAAAAATCTTAAAAATGTATTCATGAGTACGGCCATAAAAAAGGAGAAATATTTAAAAAGAAATCGGCCATCACTCGTAAACGGACAAATTAAAAATATCCAAAGTTATTCTTTTGAATGTGCTCTTTAATAAACCTAAATTTAATTTACCTCTATAATAATTAGAGAAGCCAATAATTATTGTCCTTATTTGAAATTACAGGGGATTTTCTATGTCGCGCTCGACGATGCAACACCCGGTATAGATAAAATACAATTTTCATAATATTTTCCTTAAAATGGCGAGTTGTGAAAAATTAAAAAATTATGAAAACAAAACAAAATTTCCATAAATGAAATGCTCCACGAAACGTCATCTCATCAACAATCCACAACGGTCAATCATTGAAAGCACAGAACACCTCACCTTTTAATTGGTATTTCTCATGTTAAGAAATGGTGATAGAATTACAGCGTCTCTAACGTACGTATTTGAGAACTATATCAATATTTAGTCCCCTCTTGTAAATCTTGCGGCCATTTGTAGTAATAAAAAAACGTGAGCCCATATAAAATTGACAATAAAAACTACTCGCACTAAAAATTGTTAGTTGTTTAAGGTTTGTTCACATAAACTACAGTGGAAAATAAAAATAAATCAAACTAAATCAGTGATTGATTTTACTCTTCGACCAAATGAACAAAAACAAATAAAAATAAACAATGACAGTATTACGAATCACGATTCGGCCAAATACCTAGGGATGAACCTAGATGTAATACTTAAATGGAAACAGCACATAAAAAAAGCGTAAAGCACTTGAACTTAAAATCAAATAAATATATTGGCTCCTAGAGAGAAAATCCAAATTGTCAGTGTACAACAAACTGCTGATTTATAAACAAATCCTCAAACCTATCTGGATTTATGGCATACAGCTATGGAGATGTGTCAGCAAGAGTAATATCAACATGATGCACCTTGGTTCTATCGAAACGATTATCGTCATAGAGACCTGAAGATGCCAACAATCGAAGAGGAAATAAAGAGGTTTGCTGCGAAACATGAGGGTCGACTGCAATTACTGGTTACTGAACAACTCTACACTCAACAGAAGGCTCAAAAGGAAGAAGCCATTTGAGCTAGTGCAGTGAACGTTAATGTTAGTGCTGGTGTAAAACAGTGTAATAAATCGTCACGCCAACTTGTGATTCTTTTCTATAGAAACAATTAAGACAGCCCAATGGGGACTTCTTAGATAAGTAATTAGTTTATAAGATTTTTAGATTAAAATTGTAGGTTAGTCCGTAATGACTAGTAACAATACTACAAAAAAAAAATATATAAACTACGTTTCAGCGTTATTATAGAGATATCCACTAAAAAATAAGTTGCATAAGCCAATCTTAACTTGACTACTAGTTTTTTAGTTTTAATTAATTTTTAACAAGTATAATAGAAAAAATAAATGTATTAAAAACATTCTTTGTATTTAAAAACTGTACCTATTATGTTTAAAATATCAGAAATGATAAGTCAGATAAATACTAACTTATCTTTTTGAAAAGTCCAACACAATTTGGCTTTAGCTTCTATGATAAAACATTGCACCACTAACTTTTTTTAATTTCAATTTATTTAACATTGGACTGTATTTAACTGTTAGATTTAAACACTGATGAGCATGCTACTACCAAATAACAGACAGTTAGTTGAATTCACATGTATTCCAACCAGAGATAAGGACCTATAATGAGCCATGGACTCGGGAACGTCGACTTTCCTTTTATAGTCACTCTTCCAATAGTCCCTCAAAAGAGAACGTTAATCCTGGCATCTGCATACCTCCCCTCCGACGCAACCACGCCACCACCCAGCAAAGAGATGGAGAATCTGATTGAATACTGCCTGGAACAGAAGTTTGAGCTGGTAATAGGTTGCGACTTAAACGCTCATCACTTCAGTTAGGGCAGTAAGGATAACAACGCTAGAGGAGTCACTTTATGATTATATAATTACCAAAAATCTTTGTATTTCAAATAAAGGTACCACACCAACATTTTTAAACTCTCGCAGTCAAACACTAATAGATATCACTTTATCCACAACTGGTATCTATAAATCAATTCTAAACTGGCAAGTGCCTGATCACATTTCGATATCAGACCACCGCTGGTTAACATTCAAACTAAACTTAATATTGCCGACTTTCACGCTATCTCGGAACCCTAGGAAAACGGACAGGATAACCTATGCCCACCTTCTCCAAGAGGCTCTGAAAGAGATGGAGACCGAAACACCGAACAATAATACTGCTTTGGAAAAGTACACGAACACTATCCGAAGCAAAATAAGCAATACCTATAAGAAATCCTATCCTCTGAGGCTGGTTCAACACGCTCAGATGACTACCGCATGTTGGTGTCACGAGTTGGATCATCTCAGGAAGATGGCTAGGAAATCTTTTTATAAGGCAAGAACCACAAAACTCAAAGAGGACTGGGATACTTACAAATCTCACCTCAGAGAATAAAAAAAAATCGTCAGACAAAAACAGAGAGATGCATGGAGATCTGCAACTTCCGGTGTAGAGATTTTGGCCTCGTGATCGGATATTTACATTTTCAACGAAATTCGGACTATAGCTTGAACGTGGTTTTTCTGAACTCAGGATTATATTATATTGCAAGCAAGCAATTTTTTGAGTCGGCGGAAGGATTGATGTGTAAATAATTGTAACTCTAAAATAGGAGCAAAATCAGAAGCAAAAGTCAAACGGTGGTTTAATTGCTCTCATAATATTTGTATGACTTTCAATTACAAGTATTGCCCTTAAAAGCATTTTATGCAGTAGTTCCACCATTTAACCTTCTATTTACACCGGTCATTCTGTGTTTATGGCAAATGAGATAGAATTACTAACTAAAAAAATGGTTGCAAGGACAAACTTTTTAGTTGAGAATCATATAAACATTTGAGATCAATTAAACTACTTTTCAATTAATTACAAGTAGTAAGTGCGGGCGTATAATGTCAATAAAATAAATGTAAAAAGCCAATGATTTAATCAGAAACGATATGTTAAAGGACTACTTTCCTTTTTAAAAAGAAGTTCTACATTACTAAGCTGCTTCGTCTTCTACGATAAAGCTTTGAACACCAAACGTTATGAAATAGTACCTATAAGTATAAAATCATAATGAGTCGAAAATAAGTCAAACATATGACTAGACAACAACTTCTACAATTACTACAAGACATATTTTATAAAATAAGCTCAAAATTTAATACAACAGCCCAAAAGCATAAATTGTGAAAATAAGACAAATTTATAATAGAAAAAAAGGTAACAAATATTAAAAATAAAAACACAAATGAATCATACCAAGTTACCAATATAAATAAACTATCTAATATCCTTATTCTTGCTTTTCGGCCGTAAAACCCCTACAATATTCAATAATTCATGTTTCATTACACTCTCCCTCCACCTCTATTCACAACTGACACTAAAGACGCAGACATGATGGAGAACTACTCAATACATAGTTGGCCAAAGCTTACTACGCGATAGTTTTGATAGCTAAACAGAAGAAATCTCACAAGCTATGCAGCACAAGATTTTCTCTTCTACATCGACGTCTGATTTGGCTATCCAAGGGTAATGTACTAGTATGCATATTCAAATTATAATATGAAAAGTAACTTTCTTAAAAATCAAAATAAAAATGTGCTTGTAGAAAATACCAACAATTAACAATTTTAGATAAGTTTGCCTTACATAGCTGACATATTCGAATTAAAAAAAAATGAATTGGCAGAAATATTACCAAACTGGCTAACTACGACATTATTTGAATCGTTTTTTTGGAAAAGGGAACATGTGCAATTTTTGAATATTTCGCCATGTTGACATCAATTTACGCGAGAAAGGAATATATCCGGTTATTACTATATTGGTAGTCATGACGTGACGCCAGTGTTCTTGTGCGCATAAATCGCATTGTGTCATATGTATGAAGACTAGTCATATGTTATTAGCGGATGTAAACTGTAAACTGTTGTTTTTGTTCTCATTTTATCACGATGTCTGAGACCGATAGCAGTACAGAAAATGTTGACAAATTTTTCAAAAGTAAGAGAAAGAAAGGTGTTAGAAATCCAGATTGTATAAGGCTAAGATTATTAAAAAGGCAAAAATCATAGGTTTGCCACACAATAACTACGCAGGAAGAGAAGTGGCTGTGCGAGTGACTGGAATGCCATGCCGGTAAGAACTTAAAAACAAAGCACAGTACCTAAAATATTTGTTGTAATAATTTTTTTTTAGTTGCTGCCTAAAATGTTATGAAATGTTCTTCGATCAAGAAAATCAAGAAGTGTTAGCTACTGTCAATAGTTTTAACGACAAAAATACACAGGATATCTATATTCAAAGTCTGATCGAAGTCCGCAATGTTCAAGATATTAGAAAACGAGGTGAAGAACCCAAAAAGCCAAAAACCCGTACTTTTAAGTATCACATAAATCTGAACGGAAAAAGAGCCACTGTTTGTAAATAAGCTTTCATGGGACTATGCTGATAAGCTTCCCATTAATCGAAAGAAAATGGATAACATAAGGAGCCTTCTGCAGGACATGATGATTAAATGGAATTTTACAACAAAATTGTTGAGTGGCCAGTAATAGAATCAGAGGAACGTCATGAAGAAGATTTTTAAAATTTCTAATATACCATTATATGTGATATAGTGCTATTTGCGTACGTCCCATTTGCGTACACGGTCAATTTTGTCACATTTGCGTACGCGGGTTAAATCATCTCTTGAGTCAGCTAAAAGTATTACGATAAATAGTCCTACTTGCGTACATATACAGTTATACTTAATTTTATTTTTAAAACTTTCTTTCACACTTTTTCCAGGCTAAGGCCTGGCAGCGATTTGCTGGCGTGTATAAAAGTTTTTTTTTGTTTTTATTTTAGTTTTTTATTTTTTTTAAGTTTTTTTTTTGTATTTTTTTAGTTTTTTATTTTATTTTTTTAGTTTTTTATTTTATTTTTTTTTGCTTTTTAAGAATTTACAAAAAGAATGGTATTTGCAGAATATTTACAAAATGCAGAACCCTACAGTCGGTTACTCTAGCGACGTAAGCTAGAGAAGTTAGGCATTTTTTAACGTCTTTTGTTTCTATATATGCCGCTATTATTTTAATGTTCACTAATGTTGGTTTCCAGTTTGTGGATCTTTTTATAATCGTAAATAATCTCTCATATGTAGAGCGAGTTTTGTTCTTGAGTAGTGCATAAACTACAGGAATTACGTTTCGTTCGTCTGTATTGCTTCCAATGTCCGCATGTATTATATAAAGTTGAGTAAACTGTTTACTGCAACACTTAAAAGTACCATCCATAAAGAAAGTATTCTGGTTTGACATAATCTCCTTCCCAATCGATGACGAAATTGTTAAAATTCTGTCACCGTAACCAGGAAGGAAGATCCGTCGTTCAAAACAAGAAACCTTTCAGGTATTTCGACATCCGATGCACATTTTGGCTCTTTCGACAGTCCGTTTGTCTGTATCGATATAAAGTGGTCTTTACTGAAGACAACATTGGAATATCGCAGACAAAGTCAATTCCACGATCAAAAAATGGCCTCTTTTCTTCACGGTAAATGTTTGGAATGTTCTGATCAGTTTCTCGTGCTCGTTTTTTGGCATTTTCTTTATGAACTTTCACTTCTAGTTGTGCCAAATTTGGTTTACAGTTATGCTCAAATACTGACAGAACTTGGGATTTATTTGTTTTTAATGTTCCCCGGCATTTTTCACTTTTTTCTTTGACGCACAACCATGTCACAACCTCTTGTTTGTTTTTTTTTATGTTGTCGATACTGTTGGTCCTTAAAAATTGCTGATGGCTTCCCTTTGGTCGTATTAACTATTTGAAGTTGATCTATTTCGGAAATTAAAATGGTTATAAGACGACTGAACTGCATAATAAGGCAGTGGTACACTTATTAACGATTTTACTCGAAGTGTTAAGAAATTCAAAAATCAATTATCGAATAATGAATAATGTTAAATTTCCCTAATGACCTGATATTAACGATTACTTATTAAGAGTATATAAAATTAGTTTCATTTATTTAAAATATAATAAACATTTTTGGACTACTTGAAAATAATAGTAATTTTGTTAGATATTTAGTTCGTAAATAGGCATCATCTTTTGTTTTGCAATATTTTGTGGCCATTAAAAAATAAAATTAAAACATTTTCAAACTGTTCAGTAATATAATAGGCCCTGTTTTATGTGTGTACGCAAGTAAGACTATGCATCATAATATTTTTACCTGCCACAAGGCATGACCTCACGGTTTACGCAAGTGGGACAAAATTAACCGTGTACGCAAATGGGACGTACGCAAGTAGGATACCTTATATGTATACGATTAAATTTTGATACTAATATGGTATCCATATTATATAATAAACCGATTATAAACAAATTTAGAGTATCTTCACCCGTTTATTTCGAAGAGAAAACATGTCCGAAAAACAAAAAATTGAAGGAGTGATAATTAAAGTTTTTAACCTTATAAAAATATCAGTAGTACAAAGTATTAAAAGATTATCAACATTTTACTAATAAAAGTTTTACGTGGAAATTAGTTTTCTGTTCCTTCCGTAAAATTGGACTTTTTGGGCATGTTCCGTTTTCCAAATAATCGATTCATTTATAGTTTCATAGCTACATTGCAAGCATGACATCTCGAGTCTCATCTGAAATCATAGAGATATTTCTGTAATTTTTGAAATTAAGAGGTATGTCGAGCAGAAAAAGTACGCTACTGTTTTCCCACCCCCACAGGCAACATGGGAGGCAGTCAGTGTTATTCTCTCATAAGCAAAGCCACTCTATTCTGAGAGCCAGAAATGAAATTGCCAGAATATTGGATCACCCGAATTTAAATATAAAGTGGAACTCGTAATAAAATGGCGCAGTTGCCAATTCAAATGGAGGCATTCTAATGCATTTTCCCGGGCTTACGACTCGTATCATCCAATAAAGTTTATGGGCCACTCTATTAACTCCCTTACTCGTCGCTTTTTTATTTTCCCTTTATATTTTATGAGGAGAGTTATATTCGGGCTGAATTTCCACGGAGAGCTTGTATATTCATGAGAATTTTTTATGCATACTCTTTACATTTGAGGCTTTCTTCATTCGTAGAATTTAAAAACAATATTTTCTATATCTGTACCTTACTAATGAAACATTTATATAGCATAAAAAAATATATCGCTAATTTGCATATTAATATCTCACAATTAATTCGATCATTATTATTATCTCATTTGCTCTTTATTAACATGGCATTGTGAATTATTATTATCATTATAATTAATTATTTATTTCTTTATTATTTTATGTAGTACTTACAAAAATAATTTCTAAATAGATAGCATTTCTAGATCAGTAATATTATATATAATAATATACGTTTCTCTAAGACTGATAACTATAGTCCTGGAGCCAATGTGCAGATTTGTTACTTATTTTCTTATGGCTGAATTTATTATTAAATTAACGTGTCCATCCAACAAATTCATGAAAGCGCTTTGTTCAGACCATATACTTCAATGGTTCAGACTGAGGCGCTTAGGTAACTAAAGGCATCACAGGTGGCAGCACGTGCCTCTTAAAAAGTCGACTTACTTTTTACAATGTTCGTTATGCTCATTCGACGATAAGTGCCCACCTACAAGAAATATTAAACCCACCACCATTTTTAATGGGCTATTTTTTCTCTCCAACGTAAAAAGACATGTGCGTGACTTATTTTCTTATAGCTGGTTTTTGGTTCATTTTCAAGTTTTTGTTAATTTTCATAAAATTCACTTATTCCGCCATTTTCGCTGGGCCTTTTGTTCTCTCCAATGTTTTAAAGTGGTGTGTGCCCGCTCACGAGCGACTTATTTTCTTATAAATGAATTTATTATTAAAGTGGAGTAAGATGTGTGTCCAACGAGTTCACGAAAGCGCAAGGTTCAGAATGCATCGCTTGGGTAGTTATCAACATTACAAGTGGTACGGCCCTCTTGAAAACTGACTTATTTTTTTGACATTTTCATTATGCTCGTTTGACGATAAGTGCTCACCTACAAAAAATATTAAAGTCTTTCTTAATTTCGCTTAGCCATTTCTTTTCTTCAACGTTTTAAAGAAGTACCTGAGTGGGCATGCACGTGACTTATTTTCTTATAGCTGATTTTGGGTTTAGTTTTAAGTTTTTGTTATGGGTTTCACAAAATTTACCTCCTCCGCCAATTATGCTGGGCCATTTTTTCTCTTCAACGTACTGTTTTAATGTGAAGCATAAGTAGGCATACGCGTGACTTATTTTCCAAACTGAATGCTTGTACCAAAATAAGATAAATGTGATAGCTTTTCACTGAATTATTGCTCAATGAGAATATTGGTCCATTTTTAGTGTACGACTAAAACAAAGAAATAAAATAAATAAATAAAGGTTTTTATATAAACCCAATGACTTGATAAAGTATTTTTGACCAGGTTTTGAGGTCATTGAAAACGAATTCGGTCCCAGAATTTAAAAATCTTAGCTAGCTATTTTAAGTTTTAAATTGTATTGTTTATTTTTATGAAAAACAAGGTTAATAATATATTTTTATTGAAAAATTTCATAAAAGAATTAAAACAATATTTAAATACAAGTGGCCAAATTTAGCATTTATGAACCAGCACATTGAATATTTTATAATGATGAACATTTCAAGTTATTGCGTTTTTATTCTTAAACCATTCATATTTTCTTAAATTCATTTGGACACGAGAAACTGCACAATATTTTCAATGGACACCAATTCAGTGAAAAGATATCTTTTTATCTTGCTTTAGTACAAACGTCCACTTTTTGAAAATAAGCCACGCGTATGCCCACTTACGCACCACTTTAAAATGTTGGAGAGAAAAAATGGCCTAGTGAACATGGTGAAGAAAGTAAAAGGCTGTAAAAGACATAACAAAAACTTGAAAATAAACCAAAAACCAGCTATAAGAAAATAAGTCACGCACATGCATTCTCACGCACTACTTTAAAACGTTGGAGAGAAAGAATGACCTTTCGAAATTTGTGGAAGGTTTAATATTTCTTGTAGTTGGGGACTTATCGTCGAATGAGCATAACGAAAACGTTAAGAAAATAAGTTAAATTATTGAGAGGCACGTAACACTTGTAATGCCTATAGCTACCTACCTAAGCTCCAGCACGGCATAAAAAAGAATCGGCAGGCTCACTCTCCGCTGATCGCATACAAATATTATACTAAGAAAATTTGACCTTGACGACGCCATTCAGGGGTCTTAGTCAGGGTCGGATTAAAGCGTATTTAAAGATTTTGTAATAAAATAAGTTATTGATATGCAGGATCGTATTAAAACAAAAAAGCTTCACAGATTGCGCCAAATAATTAGCTTGTTTTTATTGATGGTCTTAAAATTTCTATTAATATTTTTAAAGTGAAATATATGAGC